CTTGCGATGTTGGATTGTTGCGTCCAGTGAATCTGTGTCTTGTAGCGCCGGCCGCAGTTTACACCAGGCCCGTAGCTTCGTACGGGATGACCTGTCTATCTCCAAAACATGGCCCCGATAATTTACCTGAGGATACCATATACTGTTGCTTTGTTTTTCTGGGTTAGAATTGCCGACGGCGCAGTCGCATGACAAGTTGAGCCGTGTGTGACGTGAATATATTTTCCCATTCGCTGCTTTCCGATGATGTGGCTCGAGGACGGATCGCTCATGGTGTGTGCGTAAGGCTCAGCGTGGTCGCAGAAGAGGTCGATGCCTGGGATCAAGGATCCTGCAAAAGTCCGGATAGCCAAACCTCGGGTCCAACTCAAGTGTTATTTTCCGTGTGCGTATCTCCGTGGCTGGCCGTTGTATACGATACGAGATGTGTCGCTTCCAACAAGCATACACTGTAAGCACTGCCATGTCACGATGGATGAACTGTGGTGATCGGCGGGCGCTTTGCCCCGTGCTACTGCTCCAACTACTATCTGCGTAGTGCGGAGATTTGGTGCAAACCCTAAACTATCATCATGGAGATAGCGTGGGAGTTAGTACCGTGGGAACTGCCAAAACGACGTCACTGCTCAATCTTCTGACAGAGACCACACTATACTGAATCGGCCCTGAGTCCTGGCGAAACCCGGTAGCCGTTGGGGAATTCACCGCGCTCATGACTCGGCGGGACAGACATGTAAGGATGCGGGGAGCTGGGTTCCCTGGAGTACTTCGCAGGCTTAGAGACCCACTGTGCATTTCCAATTCCAATGAATCGGCATGCCACGTTTTTGCGCGCTTAATCGCCTGGTCGAGATCAGCGTCGATCTAGAGTTTTCCTTTTGCCGTCTCCCAGCTACCGGCCCTCGGTCTATTGCTCGATAACGGGCTTCTGCATGTCATTCTGGATGGTATCCAACCAGATCATATCAAGCATCATTTGCCTAAAGGGACCTAACATGTCTGGGTGAAACAGGGCTAGCTCACATCTTTGGCGTCTTTGTCATGGCCTTGCGCTACGGAATGTGGCAAGCCCTTCCGGATTCTTTTGAGTGTGCGCATGATTCGTCGAAGCAGAGGCTGTCCAACATGAAAGACAACGAATCATGTGCGCTTAGCGCGTAAAGTCCCGCTTTCCCTGCAGTAGAGTGAACGTGCTGGCGTGGAATTGGCACTTCTCATGGTACGAAGCGGTTGTCAATCGGTGGCAGCTTGGGGTCTACGGACTCAAAAGGGTGAACAGATCGAAGTGATGGATCGAGAGTCCGCTGAAGATGGAAACCCGATCCGTGACAGTGATCGCGACGCTGAGTACTCTCTTATGCATATCAGCTGGTATAGCATCATAATACGGGATGCCAAACATGAGCAATCTTGGTGGTACTGGTGATTGTCCGGCTTCTTCGGCTCATCATTTCTCTCGATTCGAGGGTTTAGCTAGACCGATTGGACGCCCCTTCCGTTGCAATCGTGCACTCTCAACAGAGAAAGCGGATTCCCTCGGTTATTGCCCCGCCTGATCATTGTGCATCCATCGTCGATCAATCACGGCTGATGAGGAACCGGCTAAGGCGCTGATTAACGTGGGTGTTGGTTGGGGGTCCACCTGTCGCCGCCGCTGCTGAGAATTCTCGCGCCATCTGCCGTCTCCAAGAGTAGACGCCCGCATAGCCTTCCAGCCATGGAAGCTCAGGCTCGGTCCGTTGCAGTGCGAGGCGTAGATAGTTGAAACGAAGGACGAAGGCACTCGCAGTATCCCTAGTTGGGGTGCGGATGCCGCTTTGACGTCAGATGCTCTTACCACAAGCAGCTCCTTCCGCAGGTATGCGAATCCTGATCATGGGGTGCCATGTAGACAAGTCAACGCTCGGAGTGGATCAGCTGCAGCATGACAAGTGCAAGAAAAGCGATCGGTGCTGGACACTGACACTGATTTGCAAGGTGGGGAGGAGAAACATGCGCAATCAGCTTCCATTCCATTAAATTCGTGTCAACTCAAGCAGTGCAGCTTGATCTAAACATCGTCACTTGACTTAACAAACACCCAAATAGAACCCAAATAGTACCCCACAAGAACTGAAAACGCCATCGCAGCGTGTTCAAAGCAAGCACGACTGCGACTCTCCAAGCCCATCTGCACTGATGTTGCAAGATGCTTCCTTTCAGCGCCGGCGGGGTGCGCACTGATAGAATGGTTAGCGCAGTGCGAAACCGTGGAACTGATATACTGACCATGCAATGAGCGCACAGCTGATCCTTTTGGTCGACGAAGTTGTAATTTGATGGGTGACCTGCCTGCTGCCAGTTTGGGCATGGATATTTGTTGTAGCCACCACCTGTCGCGCCGGTAGGTCTGCCACCAGTAGACGACTGTGGCATTTGGTTTGAACAGGACGACATGATGAAGCTGGAGAGAGGATAAAGAGACGATTGGAAGTAGGTGTCGAATCTCGATATCTTGCAAGATGAAGGTCTGAAGAAATGATGGCTGTTCCGTAGTTATATATTTCGTATCGAAGATACTGCGCGCTTTATAGTTACACAAGATATTTTTCTCCATCGAGTCTTGCTATGCGGTTTCCGCGCCTCAATCAAAGATCACTAGACAGAGCAACGGTAGCTAGGTAATTTTCGCCCCTACCGAGAGCAGTCACATTGCATTGATGTTCGGGCCCGGGAAGTGGCCGTCAGGCAGTCTTGTCAGAACAGCGAATACGCCACACGGCACCACGAGCGCCTCACCACAACGGAGCGTCGGAAGGAAACCACCTCAACTGTGCCTCCGCCACACTAGTCTGCAACTCCCGGAGCCGCTCTGACAACATAATTTCTCCCGCAACACCTATCGTGCGATGCCTATTCCGCTCTGCCCTTCAATTCGGCTGTGCCGAGCCGGCCCTTTTGGCAAGCGCCGCACACACCGATTACATATTGCAACAACACCGGACAGCCTGAGGCATCGGATTTTGGGTCCACTCCAACAGCCCTACCAGCCAAAAAAGCTTACGTATTCCGCTCCGAGTATCATCGACATGTCTTACATCGGACCCACACATATAGCCTCCCCTGGAAGCAACAGTGCTACCTGTCAAGTGCTTGCAATCCAACATGGCGCTAAGGGTGAGTGAATTGGCTCCCTCCGAGCTATGGATTCTTGTATAGACCGCTGATCAATACCGCTACATCACAAGATGCTCAACAGATACCAGGCATCAGCCCGAACTCTCCTTGACCGGCACGTCATTTTATCCGCATCCATCCAATGACTCTGCATAGGGTCTATTACCCATACACAACATGCCATACGGCCCGATGGCTGTTGAATGAGACATACATACCAGCTTCCCGGGTAGAGCTGAGGGGACCTGCCGCGCTGTCGGACCTGAGGCCGGTCGGTTTTATGGTATCATACGACTACCCTCAACAAGTACCTACACCGAGAGACCAGCCAGGCATCTGAGGGCATTGCAAGGGCACAAAGATATCAAGGGCTCACTGGTACTGCCTTAGGCAGCTTCCGAGAAGACTGAGTTGCCGAGACTTTAGGGTCGTGTGAGCGCTGGCTCCCGTGTCGGAAGCAACAGATACTACAACCACGTATCTTTTACAAAGCCTAGGGTAACATATTCTCGCGCTTTCCATGGTAGTTGAAGCTAGAGTCTGTATAGCTCAGTGCTTGTATTGTAGGATGCAAGACTTACGTCTGGGTTTGGGGACTATGCTAGAGCACAGGCTTCTCGGAGCAAGTTCCTAAGCTGTCGACGCCAGACTCCGAACATACAAATCGAAGAAGGGATCAAACTACCTGTTTGGTCTTCGCAAGGCAGAATCATACCCTCGAGCACTCTAATGGCGCAATCTCGAGCCAGTGAGAACACTACTCGCACCGGGTGACTTCAGCGCTCCAAGCCGCCATACCGATCCGATGACTGACGCCACGGTCGAACTGACGAAGGAATATATCATCCAGCGGATATCTATCTTCGGAGGGAATTCAGGCAGAGGATTCAAAGCTTTTGGCTTCGTTTCGTTCTGTTTCCTCAAGCTGCATCCAACGCATAAACGCGCTTCAAACTTCCTCCTCCACAACCGTGCCGCACGGCTCGCTCGATGCGACAACCGCGACCCTCAGCCACGAACTTGGCTAATCGGGATAAATGCTATCGATAAGCGACGTATTTGTCATTGTAGAAGAGGAAGCATACCTTGGGTGGTAGGGATGAGTGGTTGACAGTGACAATTGGAAGACGAAATGGGCCGAATACCCCAGCGATTGGCAACACAGCTAGGAAGCTATAAGAGGGGGACATGGGAGTGAACAGTGGCAAAAGCTACTTTGCCGCTGGCGATAGGCACGAGCCGTCTTCTCGAGGCTGCACCTTTCCTCTGGTCAGGATGCTCGGCGTTGCCGACTCCAGACCACACCCTACACGTCTTGGCAAAGACTTCCTCGGAGATTTAACTCGTGAACGCTTCCTTTGATGTACGGCGCAGTACCAATCACAATCACCGTGCAAAGGTCATCGTCATTGTGCAAAAGGAAACAATGCGTTATCGTCTATAAGCGATAACTACCATTGGGCAGACTACGTCTCGGCAACGCCTCCGTATGCTAGAGGGGTATCTAGGATACTCTATAAGCGCTTGAAACACCGCAAATGGTTGTTACGAGACCTCAATTAGGTTCGAGGAAGGGTGAAAGGATGCGGGGAACCAAAGTATAGTCCAGAGGCACTGCCTCACTGCATGGGGGCCAAAACCGGTACTGACATGTTGACAGTCGTAGGCAACAATGAGCTTCTATGGAATATGATAGGCGTGGAAATATCCAGTGAGCCACAATCTACACAAGGGGCGGTAGAGATGAGAGTGTGATCAACCGGCTAGCAAAGACCAGTGCGTTATCATACGTGATAGGCCACCGTCTGTTCAGCACCCTCCAGCATGACTCCCCCCTCTACGCATCAAATCTCCAACATGACTCCACCGCCTTCTTCAGCATCGAAGAACTCATCTTCCTCGTCTGATTCGTCCTCCTCGGCTGCCGTCGTTGGTACAACAGCAACACCCCCATCTTCCTCGTCTTCTTCATCTTCCTCTTCTTCACCCTCTGCTGCCTTCGTTGGTACAGAATCATCAGCTGCGCCTTCAAGCAGCGCGATAACCTTCCAGGCAGCGATAGTCTCAGTCTGCAACCTCTTGACTCCCTCGACCACACCTCCCACATCCTTCCCGCCAATTCTCACCTGTACCCTATACCCCTTCTCCGGGCTACTCGCTCCTTTACCAGACTTGCCTTGGTCGCTCGTGACCCGGACGTACTTGATACCCTTATCCGCCGCAAGGGTATTGATCCGCTCTTTCGGATGCCAGCAGTCCACACCATCCCTCAGAATACGCTCGAGACATGGCAGGATACCCAGACGACGAACGAACTCCTCGCACACAAGGATGGAGCCATGAGAATCGATGTAGAGGGCGCCGATCACGCTCTCAACTATATCAGAGAGAAACTTGGGTGGGTCAGTGAGCGAGAGCGCATGCCACGGGAAGCGGTTGTCGTGCGCTAGAGCTGTAGCGATCGCATGACGTGCCTCGTTATGTTGCTGCAGGGCTGCAGTCCGTCCAGCAATGAGCTCTGGGCTCGACGATCGAATGAACTGCCATAGAGCTCTATGATGCACTTCTGGCTGAAAGGTTGACTTGTTGGTCAACTCTTCCGCTACCGTAGTCTCGAACATACAGTAAGTCAAGAACGCGGCGTTTACCATTGCTGTTCGGACGCCATGCATCTTCCAGTGCGGTAGCCTCGACTCATGGGCGTAGAGCCTCTTCGAGATGATGTAGTCGAGCACTGCATCTCCGAGAAACTCAAAGCGCTCGTATGAGCAGTGTACGTTCGGGCCACGGAATGTAGAGTGGGTAAGCGATTCTAGTAGAAGGTCCTTCTTGTTGAACGTGCGGCCAAGTAGCTTCTCGACCAAAGCCAAGTTCGTTACTGTGTCTTGAGACGGAGCTGCATTGTAGAGTATCTCGTTCGCTTCCGGGATAGGCGTCCACTTCTCGAGTGGCAGGAGAGCTTGCACACATGCGAACGCTTTGGGGAAGCCGCCGACCAGATAAGAGGCGCCAATGAGCGACTCTATGACGTCGGCGATGAGTTTCGATGACTTCTCTTGCTTAGCCGCCGGCGCACTGTCAGCGAGTGTATCGCTAATATATCGCGGCTTCCACTTTGCGCCGGTGAAGTTCTTGTAGAAGATGAACTTGTCTAAGCCCGCAGCAAGTGTAGCTCGTGCCAGGTAGCCGTTACTGACAAGCTTGCCTTTCTTCCCAGTGAGAATACCTTCGGGCATGATGAGATTTGCAGCCATCAGATGAAGCGAAGCGACGAACTTCAAGATACAGTCGCCAAGGAATTCCATCCTCTGGTAGTTGTCACGCTTGTCAACAGCGGAGGAAGTAAGTGCTGTGATGATGACTGGAAGATCCGATGCCTCGAATCCAGCTGGCTGGAGTATTGTCGTCCGAAGTGTATCCGCGATCATGTATACCTCAAGCTTGTGCAGGATCGATGGTAACAACAAGGCCAGAATGGCATATCTAGTCGGAAGATTTTCAACAAGACATGATGAAGCTAGTAGACTCTCTACTTTAGTATACGCTTCACTCTTGTTTGCGTTCTCAAATACCGCGTGTAAAAAGTCTCGACGTTTAGGCAAACGCACAACTTGTATCAGGGTTTCGTCAACGCCTGTCAGGTCTGGGGACTCTGGAAGCTCGATAGATATGGGCATGAACTTCCGGAGGTCTCCTTGCAAGGAAGTCAGACCCCAGTTCGATATGTCCAGGTTTCCTTGAGCCAGGATTTTGGATGCTGGGCGCTGGCCTTCCGTTGTCGCATTCCATTCGTATAGCTCGTTCTCTGTCATCATATATCCCGATGAGTCGCATGGAGCAAGTAGATAGAGAAAGTCGTCGACCCCTTTGATGATGTGTGCTCCGAAAACCGAGCGCAAAATCTTCCACGTGATGGAGCGTAACAGATCAATGTCGATGTCGACCAAAGATGTACCGTAAAGAGCGGAGGTTGTAACAGTGTACTGCTTCGATTCGTTCCAATGTAGTAAGATATTAGGAATCTCATGCATAGGAGCTGGTGTGAGTAGTATCATGCGCATCGGTTCCTCCCCTGGCGCCTTCACCTCAAGCAAAGTGCGGTACCATAAGTCAGGTTCGCATTCATGAGATTGCGCAACCACGGCCCACGGATCGAGAGTTTGAGAAACAGGTACAAGGGATGGGCGATCGTCGGGAATCTGGTATTGGGCCGCATTGTCGTCTCCGTCTTCTTGGACGGGGAGGAGATTCTCGTTAACCAATCCGTGCAAGTAAAGAGCTTTGTATGCCTCAAAGGCGGCGTCTTTCTGAGCCATTCGCTCGGTGCTCCACGACTGCAGACTCTTAGCTTTCCTTACAGTAGGATCGACAGAAATTGGTAGCGTAATGGTAGCAGTGATCCGCCCCAGGGTGTTGGTAAAGTCGATTTCAGGTCGCGTGTCGACGTAGGCGTTGCCCCCTAAACGCGCGCAGAAGTGGTAGAGATGTTGAGCCGCGTTTTCCAGAGTCAACAATGCACTAGTGTCTCCAGTAAGTGAAGGCCAATTGGGCAAAGTACGAAAGCAAACACTGCTAGTAAAGGCTTCTCACTCACCCGGTACTTGGGACACTGAAGTAGCGCTCGCCCACTTCGTCCTTCTTTTCTGCCTCCTGAGCCACCTGAACCTTGCGCTTATCGTCTTCATACGCTCTTCTCATCTCAGCCTCAAGCCCTTGCCACGATGTTAAAGATCGTGCTTCGCCAGTATCTGGGACGAGGATGAAGTAACGTGACTCCTGTCGCCTCGCTCTTCCGCGTCGCTGAACAAAGCTTTTCAGATTCTTGGGTCTTTCGAAGCATACCACGAGATGGCAACTAGATACGTCGACACCTTCTTCAAGAACAGTTGTAGCCAGAACGAGGTTAATTGCCCCGGCACGGAAGTCGTCGAGCGTGGTTTGTTGGTTTGCTGGTTCTGCCAGAGCGCAGACGTTTGTTTTGCGCTTGCTTGTCTGCGATGTACCGACGAATGTCCCTACTCGCAACAGATCTTTGGTTCGTGGATGACATGCTAAAATTTCAGCAATTGATGCTACCCAGACTCGCTGCTCAATGAATACAAGACCGGTAAAACCTGGGGTACCATTGGCTTCAGCGACCAGAGTATCGATAAGCTTTTCAACTTTGTTGGACATCTTTTCGATGATGGTAGCAGGTAAAGGTGCAGGATTCTGAAGGGGAAGGCCTTCGAATATGCTCAGGAGATGTTGTCGCTCATTAGTGGTTAAATCCAGTAGCTGCTGATCCGACCCGCGAGTTGTCTTTTCGAATTTGCCAATGCATTGATGTACGTAGTACTCCATTGCTGAGATTCCGAGCTCGTCTGCCATGGCTTCAGCTTTCGAAACCAGCTGTTTCAACTGGTCGAGGCAATAAGTCTTATTGCTGTTCCACAGTTTGTTCAGCTGGCGAGAGACATCGAAGCCATGCTTTTGTTGGTCCAATAATGCGACGACGTACGGATCCTTTGCTAGATCATATGTGCGTAATGCATGTTGCAACGCGAGAAGTAGTTGAGAATGCTGTTGCCCTGGGACGTTTGAGGCGTAGTTGACCTGAAGCAACTCCGGTCTATGAACATGCCGTATGAGTTCGGACCTATGAAGCTTTGGTGTTCTAACGGTGGCGTGCAGATTCCGCTCTATCTCCCTGCAAATATCAGAATAGTATTCGCGTCGAAACAAGCCAAACTTACTGGAGACCCTGCTCGCTGGCTGCTGCTTTCATAACAGGGCTCGCACTCAGTCCAAGAACTTTAGGCAGCGACTTGCCACCATTATCCAATTGAGGCATATAAAAATTGGACATGATCAGATTTGCTGGGTGCTTCAAAGTACAGTGATGCGCTACAGAATGTTAGCGGGGCCTTCTCTCGTCAACGCAACAGACTGGCCTTCGTCAAAAATCAACAAAGCCAGCTTGCCCCGCTTAACAAATCCGTGTGTGAGTGCGTCAAGCAATACCCTGAAAATGTATTCAGCAGGCGCGCGTGGTTATTCTTGCGCCCAGGCTGTGGACTTACTGGTGTGTTGAAATTACGATGCGGATGTGATCCAAAACGCTGTCCCACTGCGCCTGAGTGGTCCAGAGATCAACGTCATCTCTCCCGCAAAGCAATTGGTATCCGAGTCCAGGTAAATGAGACTGGAAGACCTCATGTTGCTGCTCGCATAGTGTAACCGTGGGTGCTAGAAACCAGACGATCTAAAAAGTGTCCCGAATTCGGTGAGATGAAGTTTAGTGTGGGGACTTAGCGGCAGGTATCCGTACCTTGTCGGGCTCGCACGTCTCCAACTCCGCTCGTGTCCGTTCGATGGCTCTGCAGACTTGTCAGTAAGATCCTCGTATGGCGAAACTCTTCTACCTACATGTGCGTCTTTCCTGAGCCCGTGTCCATGACCACAATGACGTTGCCGTTCATGCTCTCTTCCACCATCTCAGCCTGATAGCCTCGCAGTTGGAACGCCTCACTGGGCACAGCAGGACGGGCTTCAGCATCGTTATCATCTTGCATTGGCGAATCCATTTGTAAATCGAGATAATGCGACACAAGTAAAAAAGCGTTGAAAGTCACCAACTTGGTGTTGGGTCTCAGTGCTCAAAGGCGACAGGGTGCTAGCTTGGCCGTGTTCTGACCGCGGACAATCGAAATGCAGAACCCCTCGCGTACTTCTATCTGCTCTCGTTGTTGCACAAACAACCCAATTGGGTTTGTCGCATCACTTCTACGAACCAATGGGATCAAGCGTTAGGCATTTCAAGACATCATTTTCGTAAATGCTACATAAGTCGCTTCATGCCCTTAGCACCAACTCCATCTGTACCAACTCGGAGCAGGATGGTGCTGTGTCATAACCTTCTACCTCTACAAGTTGGTGAGGTAGTCCTCAACCTCGGACGGGCTCAGCTTCCTGAACCGCGGTCCGACGGCACCTTCGACACCCTCAGTGCCAAGGAGCCTCTCCTCTGGTGGTCCGACAATGCCAATCTCAACAGTCTCGCCATTCATCTCTCCTTCTATGGTCTCCTTGAGAGTAAGCAGGGCAATGTGGATAGCGTCCTCGAGCTCGAGACCGTCGGTGTACCGCTTCTCCAAGAAGGTCTTGGCGCTTGTTGCGCTCTTTCCTATGGCCGTTGCCTTCCAAGGGAAATAACTGCCGCTGGGGTCGACCTGGTAGAGACTGGGTCCGCCCTTGAGGATTCCACCAGTCTTTCCGCTGACCTTCTTCTTCTCTTCGCTTGTCTGCTCTTCGCTCTTGCCTTCGGCCTCAGGCTCGATACCATCGTCCCATCCAGCAATCAGCAGACTGACACCGTACGGCCTGACACCACCAGACTGTGTAGCCTCCTGCATCACTCGCGCCACATCCTGTACTAATATCCTTGTAGGTGGGTATTCGTTGTAGACGCGCTTGTAGCCAGTATGTGAGACCTTGCGAGCCTTGTCGACGAGAACGCGGTAGTCAGGACCCATGCCCGAGTAGACCATACCGATGTTGGGTGTTATGAGACTGATCTTTGATGACGATTGCGAGTCGATGAGCGGCGATGACGATTTCTTCTCGGTAGCGAGGACAATGCCGTTGGTGGCTGCGAGCTCTAGTCAGCGCTGTTGGGGGGCTAAAGAACGATATAACGCACCCTTGATTCCTAGTGAGGTAACACCTTGGTTGACGGCGTTCAAGGCATACTCTGTTCAGGTATTAGATGCGGTCTGCTACAAGAAGGCGGGAGTCGTCATATCCCTGGGCCGCGTACCGATTTGTACCAGCTTTCCGCTACATGAATGTTAGCAAACATGTCGTGCGTAATCGATAGCGCAGTGTTTACCTGGGGGAGAAAGTGGTGAGGGAGAAGGAGTATCGGTCCGCCATGACAGTTGCTTGACAGAATCTAGAGGCGGTATATAGGAAGGGGCGTAGTCGGCGGCGGAGAGACGTTCAGTGGGGTTGGTAGACGACGCGGGTACTGGAGGCGATCTGCTAGAGCTCCAGGCTACCCAGAGCTTCGTCGCCGGAAGCGCCAAGACCGGCGCTCGGCGTAACCGCAGCTCCGGTTTGTCTGAGGAAGCTGCAACCCCGAATTCTTTGAGCTTCCAGAACTGCTCCTCTAAATCACCACCACGTTTACAACATCCTGCCACCGTGTCCCTAGTGTCATACCGCCCAAGGAGGCGGTGCCGGAACATGATCCGCACTACCGAGACACTTAAGTTGGCGAATGTCTTCCCCGCGGCTTCCTGATTGATCACTTCGTCATCTCATGCCTACCCACATGCTATATCACTGGTAAGAGCTGCATTAACCTCCGCCTTGTACCTTTACAGTTTCACACGCCGCCATGTCTTCTTCATCCGGATATCAGGCCATGCCAGGCTGGTACTGGCCTGATGACGCGCCCAAGACAGAACCCGCCCACGCGACATCCTCCTCCACAGGTTCCACATCGCAACCGCCACCTTCAGCCACGTCCAATACTAGCGACAACTCTTCATCGCAGTCGCACAGCTCAAGACGTACCCACTGGCCGCCCAGACAATGCAGAATCTGCCTCGAGACAGTTCAGCCGACATTCAATGTTCCCTCACAAAGCCTTCCTGGTTTCCTACAGTCGTCCAACGTTGTGTACGAAGATGAAAGTGGCCGTTTGATCCGCCCATGCATGTGTAAGGGATCATCCAAGTATGTTCATGAGGCTTGTTTGCAAGCTTGGAGGCATGCAGACCCTGGCTATGGGCGTAGGAACTATTGGCAGTGTCCCACTTGTGGCTTCAAGTACCGACTTGCGCGTTTAGGAGTTGGGCGTTTCATAGGCAGCGCTGGTATGTATTCCATTTGACTTTAACAGAGCAGTGCTAACATGGACTATAGCTGCTCAGGTTGGTTTGACTGCCATTATATTGATATCCATCGTGTTCATCCTCGGCTTCGTTGCAGATCCTATCATCAACCTGTATCTGGACCCATGGAGCCTTTTCTCCCCCTTTTCCTCGTCGGAATCTGACTACGCTTATTACTACGAGGATGAGTCGGCCACTTGGTACGAGCACTTTGCGAAAGGCTTCGCTAGCATGGGTGTGCTTGGTTTCTTGAAAGTCCTCATCGCCAGCCCACTATCTTACTTCAGGATTGGAGGCGGTCGAGGTCGAACGACCGGTCGAGACAGATATGAGCAGGTCAGCTGGGTCATCATCCTCATCGGCGTTGGCACATTCCTAGCGGTAGGTGCAAAGCTACATGACTCTACCAACAAAAGCTGACAATGAGTAGGCTGTTTATAAAGGAGTCCGTGTATGGAGTCGCCGAACGCTTGAGAAAGCTGGCGAGCGTGTCATGGATGTCCAAGGTGACAATGATGACGATGACGAATAGCCATGACTGAAATGCATGCAGTCGCTTTTCGGTTTTCCTCCACTCAATGCTTGGTTCTACACTTTCCAAATTCCGCACTTTCTTAAATTGCCACAAGTTATTCCTCAATACTGTGTCGATTAGTCTACGTGCGAAGATCGAACCAGCCCACGACCTCCATATCGACATTGCGCGTTTTGTGCTCGTCGGCTTTGTGGAACGTGGAGCTACCTGCCATTGGCACTCATTTCGTCTACCTTGCCTGCTCCTGGAGCATCCTCTCTGTGGCTTGAACGAAAACAGGCCTTTGGCACAGCTTATGAAAACTTGTAATGAATTAATTCTTGGGAATCACAAATGAAATCGCGCGCCTCCGTCATCACTTGCTAGTGACGCTGCCATCTATGAATCCCAAATAACGCCATGGGGTATGTACCTCAGCTAAGATATGCTGCGAAGCCTGCCCGTCTATAATGGCATTGCTCTGCGATACCATACGCCCAAACCAAACCGAACCAAACTGTACCAATCCGATCCAACCGTGAACAAACGAGAAAAAGTACAATACAATATATAGGCCCAGGGTATCAATGTAGAATATTAAAAGCCACCTCTTCTCTCTCTCTTTTTCTTTCACCTAGTGATCGCCCAAACCGGGCTTACCACCCTTCATAAAGACACGCTTGGTCGCACCAACCTTGCCTAAATCACCAAATTCTGTCTTCTTTCCCCCTACAGCGCTGCCAGGGCGACTGTCACTCCTACTGTCGGTGCGCTCGAAATTTGGATGGCTTGAGGTAATGACGTTGTTACTCACGGTGCGAGCCTGCTTCATCATGCCCTCAATCCACTCCAGCTTCTCGCCGCTGAGATCCAATTTCTTGGCTGATGGGCCCGCCATTCCAACTTCCCTACCCTGCCAGGAACTGCGAGACGAAGTTGTCGAGGGTATCGTCGGGTCCTCAGTAGTGGCACCTGGGGTTCCAGGAATAAAGCTGGGCATAGGCGGTGGCGCTTCGTCGCTTGTAAAGGCTAGACCAGATGACTTGACGGGTGTGGTGGATGGGCTGGCCAGGGGAAAGCCAACGCTGATGCGTCTTTCCATCTTACTCGCCCTGCTGTCAGGTCTTGTTGGCGAACTATCGGGGTTCTTCACCTCCAGACCCAGTACCTCAAATTTGCCTTCGCTTGCTGTCCTGCGGCCGTGGTGCTCGGCGTACTGGCGCAGGTACTCGCCTAGGTCAGACCAACCACCGCCGACACGCACCATGACACGCTCGCCATTCTCGCCAACGCGGCGAATGAACAGCTTGATCGGCTGTTCTTTGCCAGGTTGTGTGAGATGATACAGTTTGATGTCGTTGTCGCCTCTCGCAGCTGCAGCCGACCTCCGTCCTGAAGCAGCGTTGTTCAACTCGAATTCAGTCTTTGCAGGGGACAGTGTGAGCTCAGGCGACT